AAAAAGAAAGAAAAGCAATACAAATTATAATGTAATTTTTTTTGGTATAAATAATTGGTTTGAAAATTTTATATAATTTTTTTTTTGCAATTAATAATTTTCTTTAATTGCATAAATTTTCCCTTTCTTTAAAAGATTATCAGTATAAGGGATTAATTAGGATGGGAGATGATTGGTAGAGTAATGAAAAGAAAAATTTTAAGGTTGAATTTTAGGTAAAGTCAACCAACAATGATCATTATCGTGTTACACCAGTGTATGGTTTTGTTTCCAAAGGTGAGAAAACAGATTTGACAATAATTCGCCTGGAAGGACCACCAAAAGAGGATAAATTCGTCATTCAATGGGCTGAGGTACCGGATGAAGAGGATGACCCGCAAGCACCATTTAAAGCTGGGGCACAAGCAGGCGAAGTAATCCTCCCTATTAAAGCCGTATAATTTGTATAAATTATTAAAAAAACTTCCCTTATCAATATATTTTTGTATATGAAATTTGCATAAAAATGCTTATTTTATTTTTTTTTCATTATACAAATATAATTGATAGAAGTAATCAGAAAATAAATATATTTAAATTAAGCGAATTATTGTTTTAAAAATATAAAAAAAGAAAACTAAAAGAGATAACAAAAATATTTTAACTAATTTTGATAAGATAAAAAATCAAGAAGTGTTTTTTGTAGAAAAAAAAAAAAAAATTAATTCGATAGACATTTTTTCAATTGCAAATTATGTATCACTTTTATACTGCTAATGAATGTCTAATTAGCATACTTTGACACTTACCTTGAAACAGTCATGATCTGCTTTAAAGCCTGAACTGAACATTGATGTATTACTAACTAAATGATAACAATGTGTTTCACCAAGAATCCAATCTTCTTTACCATCTGGACAACGTACTGTTTGTGGTATCATACTCATCGGTTTCTCTAAAATAAATTAAAAATGATACAGTAATACTGTCAATTTCTATTACTACTGTAATGTGAACAGTATGAACATATCATGTCACCTAGAACAAAATAGAACTTAAGCACCTGGATATCAGTTGAAATTTTTCTATTCCATTTTTTGATATTAATTTACGATAGTTGAATTATTACATGTTTCTATAATGATTAACGTATTTAATGACAAAAAATGTGTGGTACTGTAATTTTCATAAATTGACGTCAAAAAAAAAAGAGCAAATTTTAAATTTTAAATTTTTTTCCAATTTATCACAGTGTTTAAATTTTGCAATTTATCATAATATCCACAAGTTTAGTTTAAATTTTCTTTTTCAAATCAATGTGATTGATATTTCCGGAAAATTTTGCTAAAAATATTTTCTGGAAAAAGATATGGAATTCCCTGTCCGGAATAAACTCTTACCCTTAGTAAGTCGACATACGACCGGTTTACGTTTCATACAATCATCAATATACCATGCAGGACCATTTTTGCTAATTTTCAGCGCAACACAATTACCATTCTTTAAATTTGGCTCACCAACATCCCAAGGTGCTAGACGTAATCGTAACTTATCTATTCTTTCAAATCTAAAACAAAAAAAAAAAAAAAATTCTGGCGAAAAATCGGTATTCTTACGGTATAGCATTTATCTCCGAAACAGAAAAAGTCTGTATACTTTATTCCTCATTTAAGATATTAGAAAGATTACTGTAAATATGATTTTGGTTGGTTAGAAATTGTATTTTATCTAAAAATACAAGCAATATTATCATCAAATAGGATTATGTAAATTTATAATTTAAAATGAATGAAACAAATAATAGGATTAGATAAACAGAAATATTGAATGAAAATATTAATTTTTAAATTATTCATTATTTTAGAAATTTTTGAATTTATTTCATTCAGCAGATGGTGAAATTTTAAAATGTTGCACATATCATTCAATAAATTTTTGTCATATTTTAAAAATATTGAAATATCGTATTTCAAAGTTTTGATATTTGGAAAAGTTCTTGTTTATTCTTGAATTCCATGCATTCATTTATAGACATTTATGCTAATATTTCCTTTTCAAAGTTTCGTCCAATAGGCTTGATAATGCTAAATAAATTATTATTATTACAATGATTCA